TCTTGAAAGCAAACCAACTACTTTCGTACACATCCGAACGCCCTACAATAAAAAAATACTGCTTAACTTATTATACCACTTAATTTTCTGATACAATTCTTCATTCTGTTTATTATGTTTTTCTGTACTATGAAATAACCAACTCTATATATTTATTATCCGACTTCGAAAAGGAGGAGGATACTCAATTCGATGTGTATGTATTTTTTTTTTTCTTTTTATGTATGTTCACCGATTACGTCGAGACGGATGGACCAATCGGAACGAAACCTTTTGCATCTGGTAGAGTATGTCTCCCGATTGATCTCGCAAAAAAATGTTTGTATTTTTTCATTTCTAACGACTTATATCGCAAAAAACGTAATACTTCGTTTATATCTTCTGGCGTTTATGCTGCAAGGAATGTATAGTTCGCAATGAAACCTTTCATATTTAGTAGGATATACAGGGTGTCAGGCTACTACCTCGACAGCCGAAGAAGGATGATTGCTAAGGGGATTCTAAACAACTTTTTCCTTTGCCAAATTGTTGGTTAAGGCTCGGTTTTCAAGTTAATAACACAAACCACCGACCAATACGAGCGCGTATAGAGCGCAGTCCCAGGGACTGCAGTGTCGGGTGCGGAAACCTGACCTGACGTAGGTCGCGAACGAACGGCCTGGCACCCCGTTGGCATAGCACAATAAACAACTGAACTGGTAGAACATTTTTAGTCGCTGTTTAGAATGAATACGGAACCTAATCTCTTATCGCCTGTCATAATGTAAAAAAGAAATTCTAAGGATTATAAATAACAAATAAAAATGTTTGAAGTGGTATAATTAATAAACGTTTGAATTGGAGGCTACGCTAATTATGCAAAATTTGAAAACAATTTAAATGAAACTTACCCATTCGTTTCTAAATTAACTTGCTACGCTGAAAGCAAATAATTCCCACTAGGTCACTGTGTCGATTCTGGACATTCGACGAGGAAACACCTCGCCTATTATTCATACCTAAGTGCAATAAATGAGGGGAGTTCACTGACCCGATAATGAAAACTGCTGTTCTACCGAACGTGTTTCCTCGTTTCCCAGTGACAATTATCTGCTTTCAGCATAGTAGGTTAATTTAGGAACGTTTATTAATTATTCCATTTCAATCATCTTCATTTGTTGTTTAGAATGCTTAGAATTTCATTTGTTACATTATGATAGGCGACAAGAGATTAGGTTCCGTATTTATTTTAAACAACGACTAAAAATGTTCTACCAGTTCAGTTTTTTTATTGTGCTATGCCAACGGGGTGTCGAGCCGTTCGTTCGCGACCTACGTCAGGCTCGGTTTTCATAGCCGACATTGCAGTCCCTGAGCCCGCGCGCTGTACGCGCTGGTGTTTTTTGTTAATAACTCGAAAACGAACCAACATTTTGGCAAAGGAAAATGTTGTTTAGAATCGCCTTAGCAATCATCTCTCTTTGGCTGTCGAGATAGTCGCGTGACACCCTGTATATCCGCGATGATCCCACTCGCAAAAATTTATGAAATTTGTTGTTTATTAACCATTTAAGTTCGGTGAATATTTTTTTTGGTTTATGGTTATTAGCTAAGCAACAGAAATCCAAAATCACCTTACAGTATCCTACAAATACTACAGGTTCCACTAAAAAGTGTGAAATAAAATAATTTTTAACAAAAAACAAATCCGACTTCGAAATGCACTAAAAAGTGTCAAATAATTTCTATTTCATTTATACCAATATTCCAGAGCTATTAATAACATCTTCTTAATCGTTAAATAGGATACCAAATACATTTCAAAGTTTTCGGAGGCGGCGCAAAATTAAAAACTTTTCTTCTACTAGGAAGATCCTAGTTCAGGCGTCAGCAACCTATGACTAATGACCCATTTGATAATTTCAAGTAAACAATATTCAACGGGAGTCAACATACCCATTGCGGATTAACTATATTGCAGTTCACGAGAGACCATACTTAACTCACGCAGCTCTGTAGGTCTAGGGACATTTTTAATAACATGTGTGATTCCCCTCTACAGCTTGCTTATTACTTTGCGATCATATAATTTTTTCTTTGAAAAATAATAGGAATTTCATTGTATCGTGTATCTTTACCATATCGTCTTCGGGTATCAGTTATCGTACGTCATATATTTCTGTCCACCATTTAAATGATCGCAAAGTAAAAAGCAAGCTGAAGGAAGAAACGACACACGTTATTAAAAATGTCCCTAGACCTAGTGAGCTGCGCGAGTTAAGTGTGGTCTCTCGTGAATTGCAGTATACATGTATAACAGAAGTGCTACCAACTGCTGATACAATCGTTACAAATACTAATGTTTTCTGCCGTATTTATAACGTTTCGAATTTTTTTCTTACGACTTATTAATTACCAGGTTTGCCATACCGCAGTTTTTTGTTAAAAATTATTTTATTAACACTTACCTTTTCCTGTGCCGTGGCTTTTTTTGATTTTTGCTTTTTCGCGCCTAAGTGCTGACAGCAATGCATTCATTTTTTTCTTGCACACATCTCTTGTGGTGCTTAGCTCTTGTGCTTTTTTATCCCACGCATCACGTTTTTTAATTTTATGATAATACTTGGGATGCTGAGGATCCCACAATATTTCATGTTTTCGATAATTTTCGATTAATTGCAGCACATTCTCTTCGGTCCACTCCATTCTTCACAGATTACAATACTGACTAAATGCGATGTTTTTCTGTATGGATGCATGCAGGTTCGTATTCACGTCCAAACTTGCATAGATGGGGTGTATCGTGAATGCGTAACATTTCTTTAATGTGACGGCGAAAAACCGACAACTGATGGGACGTTGCGATGTTACGATGTTACGCTCTTACGGTGAGGCGTCCACACTTGATACACGACGGAGTTACGTTACTGTGTTCTGTTGCATGTCAGTACCCACCTTTACGGTCAAATTTAGCCAAGTATCACTGTACTTTGTTTCTTTATGCCAACGAACGACACTGTCCTGTTGCCGTAAACATGGATGCACATATGTTATCCAATGCACGGTAGCACTTCGTTCGCGAACATCCATCAGAACACTTCTGTAGCGATTGGTTTCTTTTGCCATTTTCTTTTGCCAATTTCTAAACCATTTTCATCTAACTTTTATAGTTTTCGAGATAATCAATGTTAAACAGAAATTGCAATTATTCAACTTTGGAATTGATTTATGCTTTCACAATAGTAGATATTCAGGTTCTTTTTTCACGTAATAATTCTGTGGAATGTACCGAATAAAATGAGATAAATTTTTATTACATTATAGACATATAAATATGTTTAAATATTAATGGAAGTGGAAGAGACGCCTAAATCGCACGAACGTCGACTGATATTTTTTATTATATTTCAAAAACTAACAGTCTAGGAGAAAATCTAATTATATCACACGATAGAGAAACATTTTTGCTAAGTATAACATTAAAGCAATATGTAAAAACTAGGTTTCTACTTTAAAATTTAAGCCTGATAACTTGGCATAGAAGGAAGGAACATACTCGCAAAACGTACACGTCAATCAGGTCGACCGTAAGCGTTGAGAACTACTGCTGTTGTGGCGGCGCCTACTTCCGGTGAGCCGTCCTGTCGGAAAATGCAATTCCGGCTACCGCAGCGCCCTCTTTAATTGTAGAAAGCGGGAAAATGCGTTTCCCCTCCCACGCCAACGTTTGGCGTGAGTCACTCTTGCCCTCGCACTCATGGAGTATAGAAGTCACGTTTTCCAAAGATTGGGTTGTGAAACTTTTCTAAGTAAAAAAACTCCTGTGAATAATAACCAAAAGTTTAATCTTGGAACTGACTCATTTTAAATAAAAGGCTAGTATTTAGTTTTGTGAACAATCAACCGGCGTAAAACACTTTATTTTTCTATAAGACCAAGTATCCTCTGTTGGTACAGTAGAAGCCATAATTTACCGCATTTCTGCGAAGGTCCCTACAATTTGTGACCCCGACGTGATCACGATAGTTTTATCAATTACTTCGTAAAAAAAAGGTGTTATCAAAAAGGACGCTAAATTATACAAAATGGCGGTCGCACGCTCCCTGACGCGGCTCGACAGAGACGCCATGACAGCAGGAGAGCCTGAAGAAGCCTTTCTTCCATCGGTGTCGGCAGGGACGAATGCAACCGTATATTCTGCATCCCTTAAGAAATTACCTCCTTTTTGGAAAGAAAACCCCGTATTGTGGTTCGCTCAAGTGGAGGCAGCCTTCGATTTGGCAAGGATTACCAGCGACGAAACAAAATATCGACACGTTATTACGCATTTAGATCAGGTCGTGTTACCTTTCGTGGCGGATATTTTGACCCAACCACCGGCTAGAGGGAAATACGAGGCTATTAAAAATAAAATAATCGGCACTTTTGATGAATCGCCTGAAAGCAAACTGCGACATGTGCTCCGTGGTCGCGGTCTGGGTGACGAAAAACCGTCGTATTATTTGCAACGTATCAGGAATCTCGCTGGTGGCCAAATCAGCGAAAACGTGCTGCGGTCGCTATTTTTGGATCAGTTGCCTGATAACATTCGGAGTATTCTGGCGATTTCTGAGACACAGGATCTTGGAAAGTTGGCATTACAGGCCGACAAAATCATAGAAATGCAGGCGATTAACGTGGCGGCAGTTTCGAGCGCGCCAAGGGCAGTTTCTCCTCATGGCAGGATGGCGGCGCTTCAGGATCAGGTTGGGACCCTAGCCAAGATGGTGGAGGTGCTGACCACGCGGATCTCTCATGCTGACCATCAACCACGACAAACATAGCGGCGTAGGCGCAGCGGCTCGAGAGAGGGCAGGTCTCCTCACCGGGCAAGGTCGAGCGATGGACTTTGTTTCTATCATCGACGATTCGCGGAGCGGGCACATCGCTGCGTCATTCCTTGCGGGCACATCGCAGGGACTACCGATCAGCAGGCCTTCGTTGCAGTTGCAGCCGGAAAACTAGAGGAGCCTTTCCGTCTTATGACGGCTGCGGATGGCCTCCCTAATAATTGCCGTCTCGTTGTTAAAGACTGTTTGAGTAACTTAAGATTCCTTATAGATATAGGGACAGATAATTCGGCGTTGCCGCACAGATCGGCAAAAAGAGAGTCTACCCCTTCGGATTTTAAAATATATGCGGCTAATGGCACGGTCATCCAGACTTATGGGACGACCAGATTGGTATTGAATCTAGGTTTACGACGCCCATTTTTATGGGAGTTCATCGTAGCAAACATTCAGCAACCTATCATCGGCGCAGATTTTTTGCGCAAACACGGTCTTCTGGTGGATCTTAGAAATAGAAAGCTCATTGACGGTCTGACGAAACTGCATACGGTAGGACAGGTTAGTACTATTCCTCAACTCTCTCTTACCACAATTGACAATAATAATCCGTATCAAGATCTCCTTAGACAATTCATTCACGTTACACGGACGATACAGTGCCACACAGAGCCAAAGCACAAAGTTCGACACCACATCATTACAAAAGATGCGCCTTGTGCAGAGAGGGCACGTAGATTACCTACAGAAAAATTCAAGGCAGCGCAGGCGGAAATCAACCACCTTATAGCGCAGGGAATTTGCATTCTTTCTAGTAGTTCGTGGGTCAGCCCTCTGCACATGGTGCCCAAAAAGAACGGTGGGTGAAGGCTGTGTGGAGATTACAGGCGATTAAACAATATGACAGTTGCGGACAAGTATCCCATTCCTCACATCCTGGACTTTGCACGCAGACTGGACGGGACGAACATTTTTACAACTCTTGACTTGGAAAAAGCATATCATCAGATTCTGATGGCACCAGAGGACCGTGAAAAAACTACAATAATAACACCCTTTGGTTTGTATGAATATAAGGTTATGACGTTTGGGCTTAAAAACGCTGCTCAGACGTTCCAAAGGTTTATGGATGCAGTTTTAAGGGGATTAGATTTTGTGTTTTGCTTTGTTGATGACATTTTAATAGCATCAGCGAATGAAGCAGAACACAGGCAACATTTGCATTTGGTTTTCGAGCGTTTGCAAGAGTACGGCGTTTCTATTAATGTGGCGAAGTGTACTTTTGGTTCTCCATCCGTACGATATTTGGGGTACCTAATAGATAATAAGGGAGCCAAACCGTTACCGGAGAAAGTGAAGGCAATTATTGACTATACAAAGCCAAATACTATCGCAGATTTGCGACGTTTTTTGGGCGTTGTTAATGTTTGGAATAGGAAACCGACACACGGTTTTTGTTTTAATAAAATTAACAAAACGGGCATATACGTGGATGCAAAAGGCTTTTTATTTCTCTCCTGTAACACGTGCTCTTATCGATAGAGCGGATTCACACACAGGAAGTAGTATAGCTCGTCCAGGAGGGCGCGCTTGCGCATCTCGCTCTCTCACTGATGCGTAACAGTATGCATTGGTTTATGCATGTTTGTCTCAACAGTTAATTTTTATCGCCGTTTTGTAAAGAATGCTGCTTTCATTCAGGTTCCGTTGAATAAATTTTTAGAAGGCGCTAAGAAGCGAGATAAGAGACCAATCAAATGGACCATCGAGACTTTTTTTTTTTTTTTTTTTTATTTAAGCATTTGAAACCTCATACGAGGTTTATTTCTGCTATACATAGTTGTACATTTGCAAACCAAATTTTACATTTTGCGGTAATTAATTTTAACTCGTTGAAGTTGAAGGAAACATGGAGATTTACAAACGCAGATTAACTTAAATCAAATGAGAAAGCAATTGAACCATAGAATCGAAGCTTAAGTTGTTACGTCCCGTCTTGCGGGGCGTTTATTATATGCTAAATCCTAGATACGGGTTCTGCCGTTTAAAGCGCTAAGGCGCACCTTGACCTACCTTTCAAAGATAAGGGGGTATAGGATGGGAGACCGGGGATCAAAATACGCGATTTAGGTTATTCGAATGTGTATGTGTATTTCAATTTGGCTTGTCTTACATACCCTTCGCTGTCTTCGGGTGTCGTCAGCAATTGCTTCTCTTGCATGCGTCGGTCACTCACACAAGAGGTCTCGCTTTACACTTAGTACGCGGATTCGACGGAACACTAGACTCGCGGCGCGTGGCTACGACTCGACCTTGGAAGATGCAAGCGGTTGGTGGTGGTCCTGCACAGCACACGGATGCACTCCTGGAGCTTGTCCTATTATGGGCCTGGAACGCCAGACCTCGGGGATACACTCGTGTTGAACCGTCGGCCGAGCACGTCGTTGATGATCTTCCTGGTTTCGAGTCTAGCCAAAACGCGGGTTGCGAACGAGCAGAACTTCGTCTCTGCTTTACGCTATCACGGAACTGAGTTACTTGCGTCGCGCCGATAACTTATACTCCCAAAAGGGGAGTAGGTCACGCTCTTTGCTTGCGAAAACCTGCAAGCAAAGGGTTTTCGCCATCGCATTCCGCGAGTTCCCTGATTTCGTATCGCGGGCGTCGCTAAGCGAGGAAATGCTGATGTTCTGCGGATTCCAGAGCAAGACCTCTTTGGAATGGCGAAAGACGAAAATGGGTTACACCTAGGGACGTAACAAAGTAACTAAATGTACAGGTTACAATTTTTTAAAAACGAGAAGATGCAGAGGCAGGCTCTAATATCCGGCTTCGCAATATGTATTTCTATACTAAGTGGTAGACTGTAGGAGAGTTTTTTCAAAGAAGCAATTAATTTACTCCTTTGAGGATCATATAGCTGGCACTGCCATATAATGTGATTTAAATTTTCGCTGGCAGCGTTACATTTGCATGTGGGATCATTTATGAAATTGATACGAGCTAGGTTTGACCTACATCTATTAATGGTAACAATAAACTCTCGAGACAGACATTTTCCTGAGTACCAAGGTGTCTTTTTTCCAGAGTGATAGAGCTGGAAGTAGGTCTTGCCCTTGAGGAGGCCCTGCTCACGAAGAGAGTTGACAGTTAGAGCAAAGGCTTTGGAATTAAACATTTCGAATAGGTCTGTGAAGGGAACTGAATGAACGTCAAGAGTAGAGGAAGAAGTCATAGATTTTGCAAGCTCGTCAACAAACTCATTTCCTCAAACTCCCATATGCGATGGAATCCAATATAGCTCGATAGAAGTGTTATAAGGATTTTCACTTATAAAGTCGTTATATTTTCTTTTGATTTCAAAGATATAGGGGTTGGTTTTAATATTGCATTTGGTAGACTGTAGAGACTGAAGGGCGCTAAGTGAATCGGAAAAAATATGAAAGTTTCTATTTCGATTTTGCAGGGCAAAGTCGAAAGCATCATTCAACGCAATGCACTCGGCAGTAAACACAGAAGCAAAATTGTTGATGGCTTTTTTGGAATGTAAGTTTAGTTTAGGGCAAGACCAAGCAGCCCCGACAGCAGTAGAACCTGCAATTTTACTGCCATTCGTGTAGAGATCGAGAGCATCGCCGCTCCCTACCAGCTCGCTCAGCATCTGGTTCGCATCTCCGACATCTCTTATAGTTTGACCAAGTGATGTATTGATAGGAATTGAGGTAGTTAAGACATTATAATGGAAGCAGTATAGGCTGTGATTAGTACGAGTATCTATTATCGGACTGATGCCTGTGTCCATTATTTCGAAGATACATTGGTGGAGAATTCTTCTCTTGTTTGATGGATATTTTTTGGCAATATTGAAAAAGCTTTTTATCGTTTTGCAAGTGAGAGAGTTTTTAATGGATAGGGTCTTAGCTATGAAACATTTGCCTAAATATTTGGCACGGTCGCTCAGAAAAGTTAATTTTGATTCCGCCAGCAAAATGTTAGTGGGAGTGCTTTTTCGGAGGCCCAGAGCTGCCCTAATTGCCGAAAATTGGATCCTTTCAAGTTTTCCAAACAAGCTTTTGCGTGAGGGGAAATATATGTAGCAGCCATAATCAACGATGGATCGAACCAAGCTCTTGTAAAGAGTTAATAAAGTATCAGGGTGAGAACCCCACCAGGTACCACAAAGGAATTTAATTATATTAAGAGCTTTGTAGCATCTCTTCTGTACAAGGCTAGTGTGATTCGAGAACGACAAGTTATAGTCGAATACAATTTTCAAAAATGGAACAGAGGCACTGGATTTTATTTTGAAATCATCCAATTTTATTTCAGTGCAGCCTGGCAATATTTTTTTATTATTAAAGTGAATAAATGTAGTTTTACTTGGTGTGAGTTCTAAACCTAGTGCCAAGAGGTTTTGTTTTATTTTCAGTATAGCGTTTTCTAGCATTCTTATACCCCTTTTAGTTGTTGCGCATTTCACAAAGACCGCGATGTCACCCGCGAACTGAGAAATAAAGACGGTTTTGGAAACATCGTCAGTTATGTTTGCTACGTACAACAAATAAAGAAGAGGGCTTAATACGCCTCCTTGAGGGACCCCCTCGTGAGCTAGTCTTGGAGTGTTTTCCATGGAATCAGTGAAAATCATCCTTTCATGTGTAAGGAACTTAATAAACTGGATCAAAGCTTTGGGGCACCCAAGCGAGGCCAATTTAGAAAGCAAGATGTCAATATTAACATTGTCAAAAGCTCCCTGAACGTCCAGAAAAGCGGCTAATACATTCTTTTTTTCTGAGAAGGCTTCGTCAATTTTTAAAGTGAGGTTGATGAGGTTATCGGCGCAAGATTTGCCTTTCCTGAATCCGTTTTTATCCGACTTCGAAAAGGAGGAGGATACTCAATTCGATGTGTATGTATTTTTTTTTTTTTTTTTAACATACGATGTGTATGTTCACCGATTACGTCGAGACGGATGGACCAATCGGATCGAAACCTTTTGCATCTGGTAGAGTATGTCTCCCGATTGGTCCCGTTAAAAAAAAAGTTTGCATTTTTTCTTTCCGAACGCTTTTTATTGCAAAAAACGTACTATTTGATGTACGTGCGGTATACGTTCGTCGGTTACTTCGAGACGGATGGATCAATCGGAACGAAACTTTTTGCGTCTTATAGAGTATAATTCCCTAATAGTCCTATAAAAAAAATATTTTGCATTTTTTCGTTCTTAATAATTTTTAATGTATGTTCGTCGATTATTTCGGGACGGATGGACCAATTGGAACGAAACCTTTTGCATTTGGTAGAGTATGTCTTCCGATTGGTCCCGTTAAAAAAAATTTTGCATTTTTTCATTCCTGCCAATTTTTATTTCAAGAAAATGTACGGCATCATTTATATTTTTTTTTCTTTCGGCGTTTACTCTACAGGGAATATACCGATTGCGACTTTTAAACATTATCCGTGAAATGAAATGAAATGAAAAAAAAAAAAAAAAAATAGACTTGGTCATTTTCTCTACCAGTTGGTCGCTAAGAGAAGGGTTGTCTTCCTTCTTCAGGTATCAGTCGTTAGAAGCTAATTTGGACTGTTTCTTTGCAAAAGTAACCGTCGTAATCTTTGCATTTCGTCATGCGGTTTAACGAGGACTTTGTTTGGTGCTAAATCAGATAGAGCTAAACCATCTAAACTTTTGACACGACTAAGAGCGACGTAAATTTGGCGTTTTGCAAAATTCTTTTTGCCAAGATCAATTACAGCTTTGTTTAATGTAGTCCCTTGTAATTTATGCACCGTTACTGCCCAACTTAGAATAAGTGGTAACATTCTGCGCTCGACGTCCCCATAACCTTTCGTCGCCTGAAACGTTG